ACTATTTTTAACAATACTGTAAAACTTATTTTGATCTTTATCAGTTAGGTATAGAGCACACCACATTCCAGGTTACCGGGGGATCAAAGGCCTGTTATTTTCTGGAAAGAAAGCAATGAAAGCAATGCCAATAATGACCATTAGCTGCCTAGAAGTTCCTGGATTATTTAATATATCTAACATCTTGTCTTTTGATTTGTGTGTTTGCTTTTTCACCCAATTTTGAAATTGTTAGCAGTTATTTTCGAATTATGTTTCCATGAATAACTCTACCTGTAGTCTGATAGGAAAATGCTGCTGTAAGAAAAACTGTGCCCTCAAGACAGAGGCACAGTTTTTCCAAATACGGACCGACCAAGGCCGGTGAACAACATTTTTATTTTTTTTTTAAACTTAGCGAAATTCTTTCCGAAAGAACCCGAATAATTTAGGGCTGTAAATACGACAAGAACTTCCATAAACTGTACAATTTTTGAGCGAGTAAATGGTAGTTAAAATAGAGGTGATGCAAATTAAAGAGAGATGCTTCACCGAAACATTTTTATTTAAATTCAAATTTTTTAATTTTGAAGTTGTGAGAGTTTGCTCATTTGTTTGGTGCAACGGCGTGTGTTAATCTGGTCTTTCCTCCACAAAAGTTAAATTCGCATGAGGCACTCCAACGAGACACAGGGGATTTAATGCGGCTTTTTCTCATTGAAGGCCTTCAGTTTCTGTTGTGCAATTTACGGTAAAAATGTCCAAATTGAAAGTACTCAGGAAGACTCACCGAGAGCGTACATTTGTTGTAGAATTGAAATTAATTAATTATTAAGTTCGCCCTTTCACTACGAACAAATGGTTAGAGTTGAGTTGGGGGACCATAAATTAACATATTTTTATAGCTGAGGTCACAGTATGCCATTTGGTTAATATTAGAAATCGCAAATCCACCATTAATAAAACACAACACAGGCAATATCGGGATCAAAAATATTATATTGTTTCAGTATTGTATATAGCCATTGACAAACAATTATGACTGAAAAGGGAAGCTAATTTTGATATAGTGAGTTTTATTGGAAAATAAGTGAATCATTTTATCAAAGAGTGCCGTTTATTCTGAAAAGTGTATTCCACTAAATTTCATCTGCCAGTTTGTTAGACAGATTCATACCAATCATAGTGAAAAAGACGCCAAACTTTTAATGTAATTATCAAACCTTCACCAAAACGAACCCAAATTGGGTAAAATTATACACTTCAAGTTTTAAGTCTCCAAACAGGACTTTGCCTTCGTGTGGCCGTACTCCCCCCCTCCCCCACGGTGGAACAGAGGCGAGGGGACCCACCCTCCCTTCTGTTTCATCTTGAAGGGGAGGGTACAGCTACACGTAGGCTAAACAGGACGTGGGGTTGGGGGCTTTTGCGGGGGAACTGCAGTCTTGCAGTTGGCCAGCGGGGGAGGCCTTGCAGTACGGATAAACCTCGCTATTGAGTATTTGATTGCACGTCGCTGTCCCTTTGTCAGATTATTTGTACTTACATGTCTAGAATCGTAGATCGCGCAGTCATCAGACAAGACTTGCCCAGGAGTCATATGAGTAGAGAAACTCATGAATGTTGGGAATCTTAAAAACTGATGTTCTTAAGTCGCCTTTAACATAGGTACAGAAATGTGTCACTGATTCCTGTGCTTCTGTGAATATCTTCAAAGTTTTGAATTGAGTATGATAAACGTTCAGCCGTTTTCTTTGCAGAATCTTTGCGATCAACAAAAAAAAAATGGCGCGCAAATCATGCGAGAGTCAATGCATCAGTCCAATCGAAATGAATCAAAAAGAAAAATTCAATTCCAAAAAAAAATTGCACAGTTTTTATATTTGCGTATTTTTATATTGTGTCTCGAAAACTCAAGTAGCCAAAGTTACCACAAGCAATGAGAACGAAGCCTAATGGACTGGAAACCAATGAGAAGTCAAATTAAAAACACAATCTAAAACCGCAAGTGAGCAAGTCGCCACTGGTTTGATTTTGCTTCCGATTGGCCGAGAGGGTAGTCCGAGATATCTAGACCAAAACAGGCCGAGTAAAGCAAACCAAAACAAACTTAGGATACTTTGACACTAATTATAATTGAAAACAGTGCTAATGTTGAACCTCTCTTTTAATGGACCAAAAAATTCCTCTATTTCTTTCTCACAGATGAAATAAGAAACGCCTAGTTTAAAATGTCGTGATACCTAAATATTGATTGCGTTTACGGATTACAAATATCACACAGGAATTTATTTCATTATTTTTCGATGGGATGCAACTTCCGTCTTCAGTAATAGCGATAGGTTTATTTATAGACCTCCTTTGGAAAATTTTGGTGTAAACAAGAGGTTGTAATCTCTTGGTGTAAACCATTCCCTTGAAGTAATGACACGACGTTAGAGGCAACTCACTTTTAAATACAATTGCATGCTCTCTATCAGTTTCCGTTGAAAACAAATTTTTTTAGAAGCTCTTGAAAGAAACAAGTTGTTGAATTCGTCCGAAGTAAGGTCATATTGCATGATGTTTTGGGGAATTCAAGTTGTTATCAACTACAGTGTCTTAGCCAAGATACTTCGGCACTTTTTCAATGTCTGACTTAATTATAATACCTTTTCGTTATGATTTATTTAAAAAAGACTGGCGAAAGACTCCGAAGTCTTTTTCTCCATCAACCCTTCTAGTATGTTCTGGTCAGCCTGCAGGTACACGAAGGGACAGGCCGCCATTTTCTTTCTTGTGAGATGACGCAGACGCTTAAAGTATATAGTCATCTATTTGTTTTATTTAACTATTCATTTATTTGTTATACTCTTATTAATTTTTAGTGAGACGGCCATTTCCAAATTAAGATTAATCAACACCCGAGCTCAATTTGCCAAGATAACAGATGCAGTAATCGTAATTTTTTAGTCGTTATTGAAAAAAGTTTTGTCTTTAATAACTGAAGGCCTTGTGACCCTTTTATTCCTATTAGTAGTCACGCAACTTCTTGTCACTATTTCAGGTGATATGGGAATACAAATGTAAGTTAGGAGAAACTTACCGGCTGAGTGTGTTATCTCGATATGATTGACACCAGCAAAACGTGTTTAGTTAAGCTAAGTTTAGCTGAATGAAAATCAGAAATAGAGAACGGAAAAAGTGAATTTTGCTTAGGATTCAAGTGGTTAGTAACTTGTATTTTTAATGTGCTAAATTTGAAGCCGACCAATATCGGTTTAAACAGCTCCCACGAAGAAAACAAATTTAAACCGTGTTTGACAAAACAGCTGTAAAACACACGTAAGCTTTGGTATGAATGGGTATATAAGTTTAATATCTTTCATTACGCAGTAACCTAAAATATCAACAGGTTTTGCAGATATCAATCTATCCTGGAGCATTCAATTCCTCTCTAAGCCATCTTGAATGTCAAAGCCTGACGTAGATGTACATATTGGATTAACAGAACTTTTTAGGCAGCTTCGAATCGAAAATTCATTCGTGTTCTTCTGATATCAGACCGTGGTTATTTAAGACTCGGCCACTCAAAGTGTCCTCTATCGCAGATTTTCATATTTTTTCTTTACTAACCATAAGACATATGTATTGAACAAAACATGTCTCTTTTTCGTCGGATTCGTAACTATGGATTCCCGAAGTAGGTTTTTTTTTCTCCTTAAGACTCCACTACTGCCAGAAAATTTTCCGTCTTCGCGCTTGGCAAGCTAAAGTTATCAAATTGAAGCAGAATATTGCTACTCTAGTACACTCTACTTCCAACATCTCGTGTACGCAATCTTAAAATAACATCAGCTCACAAGAAACTTCAGACACATTACACCAGACGCGTAAAACTTTCCCTCTCCTTCATTAAGGCATAATTTCACGTCGACTGCATACCTTATCTTATTGGAAAAAGTTTCGAACAGGAAAGGTACTGTATATTATTTAGTGGCCAGTTCGGAGACACTCGCTTTTCCATTGCTTTCTTTACCCGGTCTTTATTTAACGATCATCTACCAACTAACTTAGTACAATCATCTTACTTAATTACGGAATCTTTACATCATTCAGTAGTCATACACTATATCACTTATGTTGATGCAAGTACTTGTTGCTATAGTACTAAATACACCACAGGTACATTTTAATGATTGCACAAACACTATTTAAATAGCTGTCTAAAGAAGCATGTTTCGATATGTGCTACAAATCCAGATACTTTCAATTGTCGTCAGTAAGATATCCAAAAATTAATTTTGAACACGTGTAAGAAATGGGCTACGTCTTCCTCCTCTTCAAGGGTGGCCGGAAATTCTCCAAAAATCAGTCTGAAGTATCAAACATTGCTTCGATATTAGAAATCTGCCGAGCGAATGGCGAGCGCTTGAACGGTCAGCTTTAAAAATCTTTACGGGGGCCAATTTACACTATCAACTTTGTTAATCAAAACCAACTTATCTTATTGCACTTCCCAACGAAGTAGCATCACATTTTCTTTAGGAACTTAACCCATTTATTCATAACTTATCAGCAGCCCTGTACAAACTATTTGCATGACTTCAACCTATGACCTTGTAAATCATAAAACAATGCTGGTTGTGTTACTAGAAACAGGAAATGTTGAGGGCGGGGTGAAAATTGTTTCATTTTGATTTCGTGCCACTAGCGTTAAACAGCGAGTTTTAATATTACTCTCGTGTTTAAATAATTGCAAACACTTGTGAAGAAAAAGAGAATCTCTTAGAACTGTCAAACTTTCAAGGTGTTCTAACATCACGCATTTGACTGCCATTAGCCTGTAAAACGTAAAAAAATTTCAGCAGTCAGCATTTACAAGTACATTGAAGAGGCGTCAGAGCAGTTTGAAATATCGGATCATCAACGTAATCCAAGCCAAGCGCATAATCGTATTCAAATCACTACTACTTCCTTTCAGCTATCTTTAAATTTCCTCTTGTTTTTTCCTCCTTTTAGTCACTGACATTAGTTTTAACATTTGTTCTGATCAGGTTTTCCAAGTTTGAGAGATCATGGCCTTATTTTTTCATCAGTTAATGCTCCTGGTGTTCTTAGTGAGTATTCCTATTAATTCTACCTATATTACAATAAATAATTCAAAATACGGAATATAATGTGTAAGTACAGGTAATCAGGTTTTAAAAAAACCCTCATTAGAAGCCAGTTCTGTTTCTTGAGAAAAACGTTTGATCTTTCTTGAATGACTTCTGGCTTGAGGGTCTTCGCATTTTGATGCTGTCAATTCACGTCTGCTAATGTTTGATCATTTTTCTCGCAGAGTACTAAATATCCTCACGTTTCATGCGCGTCGCTAGGTATGTAAAAACATGTGGTAGTGTACTTTAAACAAAAGTAAAGCAAAGACAAGCACTGTTCAACTGTTTAACCGAGAAAGTTGCTTTTAGCAATTAATTTTCACAAACTATTTCTCTGACACTACGGGCAAAGACCAACGGTAAATGGAAGAATGACTTTCTACCGTAGTTAATTCTTCATGACCGCTAAAAATCATTATTTTACCTTGCAACTGCTATGTAAAAATGAGAGCATTCAATATTCTCTTGTTTTCTGGTTGAATGTGAATTCAATCATCACAACAAACCCGTTTTTACAGGTTGCTTTATGAATCCTGTTGGTGTTGCTAATCCCAGGATAATCCCTGATAATCGGATAACATCATCTTCCAGTCACCACGGTCTGTACCAGGCGGCCCATGGTCGTCTCTACAGTCACAGAGGCGGTGCTTGGTGTTCGCGTAAGACTGAAAGTGACAGTGAATGGCTTCAAGTTGACATCGGAGAAATAATTCAAGCATGCGGGGTCGCTATCCAAGGAAAAAGAACACGTCACCAAAGGGTTAAAGCTTTCACACTGTCTTATTCCTTAGATGAATCAATCTGGGAAACCTACCGGGATGAAAGTGGTGAAGAAATGGTAAGAATTCCATTGTAATGCATGAAAAGAAGTTTTTGATTTCAGTTTGGTGGTGGGTAAAATTTTGAAAAATACATATTATTTCCACCTTGTTTATCTTGTTTTGTTTTTGTTTTTTTTGTTGTTATTGTTTAAACATGTTTGTCATTGCTTTCCTCAAAGGCACCTAGGCTTATCAAGGGGGGTTACAATATTACAAAATTTAATTCATTTATACAGGCTCATACACAAACACACACCCACGCAAAACAAAACACAAATAGCAATATCAATGAGTTAAACTTACATAGCTTGGGACATATTATTTAAACAATCAGGAAATGGCCACCAAACAGCGATTAGTATTAATTACGAAACTTTGTACTTCGTCAAAAAAAAAAAGCACTATTGACATTATATTTTTTTCCTTTCTTTCGCATTTGGAAAGGAGTATTTTTTGAACACTTTTTTCCTTTCAAAAAATAATGTTCCATTTATCACATTCTTGTTTCAAAGGAATTTCAGAGTTTTGGTTACGATTTTGCAATCGACCAGCACAAGTTACCACTACCAGTGTATGCAAGATACTTTCGATTTTATCCAATCCAGCGTCATGGAAACTGCCTTAGGGTTGAGATTTTCAAAGAAAAATGTGAGTTAATAATGCAATAGTAATTAAAAGATGATTACTTTTCTCGTACCAGGAAACAGGTTCCTGGGTGTGGCCGGGATAATCATTAAACATTCAGTGTAGTACATTCTCAAATTAACAACTAATTTATGCGTCAACGTGCGTTCATCGATGTATAAGGTACGAGGGATGTCGGGATATGAAGAACGAGTTTCAAGAAGCTAGAGTTGCTCCTGGCTGCGCCTCCAGAAACCCTTGCGCATCTTTCGTGCTCTCCAAATCGACTTTCGTTTGGCATATTTACATGAACTTCTCATTTTAAGCTCCTAAAGATTTATATCAATCGTCATTTAACAGAAAAGCTGATTAAAGGCGACTGGCCCACTGCAAAGGGCTCTGTAGAAATGGTCAAAACGTTAGTCTTGTAACTGATCAAAGCAATATGATAGAATAAGTTTTGAACAAAGTTATCCGTATATCCGTATTGCTCTTGACAAAAAAAAGATGCCTCATCCTCTTTTGTTATTAATCAATTCATCTGTTAAGTAAATTTCATTAGTCAGCTTAATAGGCAAAGGGGTTTGACTGTATCAGGGTTTAGATAAAGGTTGAATAATGCTTCTTTATCCGCAGTTCCAGGATGTCAGTACATCGACGTAGGACTAGGCAATGGATACACCCTAGATAGAGATTTCAGTTCGTCCTCTGTACTAAACACAAACACACCTGCTAAGAATGGTCGATTGAACTACAATAAAGGATCATCATGGTGTGCCGCAACAAATGATAGTCAGCCATATCTACAGGTTGACTTTGAAAAGCTTTATATCATCTGTGCTGTGTCAACTCAGGGGAACTCCCAAGGGGACGAGTGGGTAAGGAAGTACACACTTCAATCATCTAGGGATGGAACAAATTGGACAGACTATCAAGAGGCGGGAATATTGAAGGTTTGTCACCTTAAATAATAACAAATAATAAAAGAGTGTAATTCCTGGTTAAAACATTTACTGTCATCATTACGATAGAGAGGTTGTTCAAGTTATCCAAGCGCACGATATAAGTGCTTGAATAACATGGTTAAACATAATGGGAGTCAAAGGAAAAAACACAAATAAGTTAAACCAAGCTATTCTATATAGACTTGAGCAAAAGTAAAGACGAGAAACTTTAGTACGTATTTGTGATGAGAGATCTGCATCTGAGGTAAGGAAAAACGACCTTAACAGCGATTCTGTTAATAAAAAGGATCTCATTGCCCCATTTGACTGACATCGAAAGCTAGCTTTAGTTCTTAGATGCATTGCATCTTTTTAACTGAGAATGAAACTGAAATATGGCCTCACGCTTTGTGTTATGAAAAAAAAAAACACTAACAAACTCTAACTTGGTAGAAAAATATGTTTTTTCGTCTTGTCACGAGCGTGAGACAAAGAAAACAATCGAGTTAATATATGACACGCGTCCTACGTACTGCTAGGATCAGCAATGTCTGTAGCGACATGTTTTGTAATGGAACGTACGTTTTTTCATGGGGGTGGGGAGGGCTGGGGCCTCAGACAGGAGGATCATTAGTGAAAGTGAGCACCAAAAGGGGAGTGTGATACCTCTTTGTAAGCTATTCAAGGGGAGGGTCCCACATCTTTTCCAGAATTTTTTAAAGAGAATTTTTGTGATGCTGCTTTCCATTTTTCTTACAGATTAAGATTTTCTTTTCCCTTACTTTGATTTAGTCTGGTGTTTTATTACAGGTTCTAGGTCACATTTCTAAAGGTATGTTATGCCGTGGCACATATTTTTCTGGCAGGATTCGTGTCCTTTGCTGTACGTATCGAAACGTACTAAACTCAGGCACCGTTTCTTCAGCTACTTGCCCATGTTGACTATCCGCTGCTTGATCTCCTGAGTCATTTAGTTCTGAAGAGTTACTATTAGATCCATCCATGCACTCTACCCTGTCACTGTCACTGTCAGACTCTGAATTTGAGTCAGAGGCTGGCTGAATGTTGTTCTGACTGTCCTGCACAGTAGAAGTCAAAATCTTACTGCCAGTATGTGCCTTCACCACCCTTACTTTCTAAAATTTCTTTCCTTTAAATGCAATATTGTGGTGATTAATACAGTAATAAAGTTCAAGTTCACCTACACTTAGGGGTGACAACTGGTTTCAGTGATAGAGATCTTCTCAGTCAATGTCATTGTATTCCTGTTGCTTTCTTTCTGCGCGCTTCCTGTCATTATCTGTTGGCTGCCTATCTTTTCTCATTTCAGTGTTAGTTAGATGCTCAATATAATCTGTGCAACAAGCGTTTCTGAAACAATGTATTTTTCAGAAAACTCTTTGATTGCCTTTTTATCCCCTGCTTTTAGCTTACCCTCTTGAAATATCTTTTTTATTTGAGCTCGAGGCTGATAATCATCAGGTTTGCAGCCACTCGTAGGTGTTTTCGTATTTGGTATGTAGTGAATGTCGGGAAGTTTAATGTAATCGGGATAGGGTTTTGGAGTTGGTGTAGCTGGAGCAGGACTTACAAAGTTTTAAAGTTTAGACTTCCATATTCGAAATTCAGCAATAAAACGTAAATATCCCACACTGCGGATTGTTCGCAATTTCTTGTTTCAACTCGCACACATTCAATATCGAGATATGTTTATTTTCAAACATTTTGCGTTCACAAGCTAAATTTTCTTAGGTGTCTACTGTGTGAAACATACCATGTAGTAGTAACGGGAGGGTCGAACTTTTTTTAGTCACCTAGCTAAAGGTGGGGGTCAGGAGTTTTTTCTATTAAAATGTAAGGCAAGGCCAACACTTTTTTCGGAAAAAATACCAAAATTCCCCAGTCCCCCCAAGAAAAAACGTACCTTTCCTAAATAGAAAAGAGAAAGTTGTTATTTTGTCTTGTCACGAGTGTGGGACAAAAAAACATTCTGAGTCACCATTAGGAATCGAACCTCAGACCTTCGGATTCCGCGCTCCGATGCTCTAACCCCCGAGCTAAAGAGACTCTATGGTGAGCAAGGCCTATTACAAAGGACACGCGTCCTGCATTCTGCTAAGATCAGCAATTTCGATAGCGTAATACTTTGTAAATGGAATAAGAAAGATGGTAACCTTCGTTTGGGTGAGGGAAACTTTGCAGGAGTTAGATAAAGGTATAAAGTCAATTTCTTTATTTCCCTTTAGTGGTCTGCTTACAATGCGCAAATAGCGTTTGATATTTGATGTTCTTGCATCTACAGGTATTCTCAGGAAATTTCAACCGAAAGGAAACAGTAAAACAAATTTTATGCAGTGAGCTTGTTGCTAAGCGTTTACGTTTCATTCCTCAAGAACACTACGGAAACTGTTGTATGAGGGTTGAAATATATGGAATACCACTGGCAGCAGGTAAAAAGCAACATACGTTTATAACGATGAAAGAGCTTCCTTACGACAGCGCCTTGAGTAAAAACCGTACTAGTAAATACAAAAGACCGGTTCTGGCACTTTTTTAAAAAAATCAGAAATAATAATACAAGATCACTGGTTAGCTTAGAATTTAAAGATCGGTAACCTCGTTCTTTTGACTGAGGAGGTAGTTTAACCATTCATGTTTAATAGTACAGGCATTGAAAAACCATTTGGACAGACTTCACCCATAATTATTGAGTTTACTAATACAAGTTATATTGTTTGAAAATGTCCACAAAACCTTACAATAATACCAGCCCGAACTCGCTCGAGCAAGACTTTGCCGGTGAGAAACTCCCAAGTCATCGTTTTTTTTTTTGTTTGTTTTTTTTTTTAATAGTACGTTACAATGAAGGGGAACGAAAAGTTAGCAAAAACTGCAAATCCAACTACTTCAAAAGTCCAATAGCAAATAATATTGTAAAATCTTTTGTTTTTTTCACATAATTCAGTGACATTACGTGACAGCTTGACAACAGCCACTCTTTACACAAAAATTAAATAATTTAAATGTGACGCTAATGCCACGCTCTTCCTGGACATCTAGGAGAAAAAGCATATCCTCATTTTAGCATCTTTCAATTTTACGCATCTTTCGATACTCAGACAAAATAAATGATAAAGCTGCTTGTATTTTCAGATAATCTTGCCTTAGAAAAGCCAGCCTTTCAGTCAAGTATTTTTTTGATTGCTATGGATGTTAATTATGCAAGAAGAGCAGTGGACGGAGTAAAGAATACAAACAGAAACTATTGTGCAAACACAGGAGGAATGGATCCTGTTCCGTTTTGGGGCGTCGACTTTGAACAAGTGCTGCCTGTTTCAGAGGTTTTCATTCTTAATAGTGGAGACTGTTGTGGCGAACGTTTAAACAGTGCCGAGATAATGGTAGGTAAGTACTCAAATTAGGGATAGCCCACGTCCCACCGATTACAGATTAGCGCGCAGACCTCTACTTCGGTCGGCGAAAGGTATACAGTCTATGTGTCCGTCTATGTGCTCTTACTGAAGAATGACTTTTTAAAAAAGTTGATTTTCGTATTACCTTGTACTATTACTTGAAGGAAATGAAACTAGAGATAGAGGATTAACCTACAGTCTTTGCGCCATTGATCTACGAGTCCCTCAAGGAAAGGGAAAGTTTTTTCGATGCAATATGACGCTGTACGGCAGATATTTATGGATCAGGGTACCTGGATTGTCGAAAGCGTTGGTCTTATGTGAAGTTGAAGTTTTCTCCACAGTTAGATCAAGTAAGGAAGTTTACATTTCACGTTGCAGAATATGAATCATATCTCTCATTCCTATGTCATAAAACTCCTGATCATTTAATCGAATTTTGTAGGAAGGCAGTCACAGTTGAATACCCAATTGTGAGCATCTTCGGAATAAGACAGAAATTAAACTTTAAAGAATGCTTTTCCATTATCGGATGATCAACTCCGGGTCTTATAAACTGATTGGTCAGTCTTTCCGTGATGTAATTGGCAGTAAGACTCGAATGGCGTAAGACGGTTGTGATTGGTCGGTTTCGATCCGTTGGTAAAGTTAGGTCTTTCTACTCGGTTCGTTTGTAATGTTAATGTCGTGAATAAGTCGTTTGCATGGTGCCGTTAGTAGTTGAGTCTGTTTCAAGTTAGTTAACCAGCTTTCCAAAGTCAGTCGTTAAAAGTAGTCAGAGCTGTAGGTTAGACATTGCACGAAGTCCTAGTCAATAGTGTGGCTCGTAAGTCGATGATGTTCAGCAATGTGACCGTTGACATCACCTTTCCTCGTATAGAAATAAATATGGTACCGGGTGGAAGTACAGAATATCAAGCATGACTCTGATATTTCACAATGTAAAACAATTCGAGACTCTGAGTGTAGCGCCATGATTTATTTGTGAGATTCCTAACCTTGATCCGTTAAAAGCAGCGCCACAGAATACATAAGTCATTTTATTTGAATATCAAACTATAAACTCTTTGATAGCAAGTAATAAGGACATCTGTAAGCTTAAAGTGAGTTTTCGTTCTTTTGGCTAGATCTTGCCTTGTATCAGTCTGCTTCTCAGTCTTCTACAAGGTCAAATTATACCGCTAACAAAGCCGTGGATGGAGATATTCACTCCTGTGCTACAACTCAGTCCCAGCAGGACCCCTGGTGGAGAGTGGACTTAGGAGCATCGCGGGTTGTGGCTAAGGTCATCGTTACATACAAAAATCAAATGGAAGGACTTCAAGTCTGGATTGGTGGGTTCAGGGAATCGTGAAAGAAAATTAAGTAATCATAGAGTTATTGTCATGAGAACGCGCTCTATAGAAGCCCTCCATAGATGTAGCTGTAAAACAGGGAAGAAGTAACATTAAAATGGGAGCCTCGAGAATGTGTGTTTTGCTGACGGTTACTGTATGTCTTTTTAAAGGAGAAGTGAAATTTGAACTTGGTACTTGGGGAGGAAAAATTTTAGAAAAAGGCAATGCCAAGTGGATTGCATTTCAAATAACAACGTGTTCTGTGTTCATGTCCAACAGGTTATGACAGTGACAACAGAAGAAGTTCAAACTTGCTTTGTGGAAGAAAACCCCTTTCCAAAACATTTCTAAACATTTCTCAACGACTTACCATATATTGTCTACCCAGACTTGTCGGAAAATTTGTTTTTATTGAAGATTCAGGCGCGAACAGAACACTGTCCTTATGCGAGGTGCAGGTTTATTCCGAGAGAGGGACAAGCAATGGTAAGCAGCTGTCGTGACTACTTGTCTAATTTGCACTTTCACTGATAAGAGTTATTTCGTTCTATATGGAGAAAGATGTTAATCGTCTTGACACAAGCCTGAGACGCAGCAAAACTCTGATTTCCCCACATTGCATTGATCTTCATTCCAGCTGTTTCAAGCTGGTTCGAGAAAATAGGGAAGGGTTTAGTACAAATTTAAGTCGTAAGT